ATACTCACCTACGGACCCAAACCACCGACCAAATCTAAACGCCTCTTTTCGACTAAGCCAACCGTAGGTTACACGAGGTTTTGGATTGTGGAGCGACTGACTCGCCGTAACGCCCGATTTCAATATAATCTATTAAAAGGAATCCATTCGATTACATCTTCATATTTTGTAGCTTTAAGTTGAATTTCTTTAATGTAATCATCAATATCTTTATTCCCACTTGTCCATCCTTGTGTTGTCTTCTGAGGGTCGCATGTTTGGCACCAGGCTGGTGATGTTATTTCGCTTGCAATTTGCACATTTTCCATACTCATAATTTCTTTTAGAACCAAATTCATCAAATACCAGCATATATTCATTTGTGATTGTATTTGGAGTTAATCCATAGACACTTTTACCTTCTAATTGCACATGATTTTTAAACTTATAAAATACGTTTAAACAATATAAGTATAATAATAAGTATAAATTAAGTATATTAATTATAACAATAATCAAATGATATGAACTCACTTCTTTTAAAATATTTTGAATATCCGCTGTTCCTGTCAATATTTTAACCATCAGTTTACATGATGGTATACGTGACTGTGTATAATTATATATATCATTTACATTATCTACACATACATATTTTGCATAACGTATTCCATCTAACCAGGTTGCTAAAACTCTATCGCCAATGTTTTGAATAATAACTAATCTATTAAAAGGAATCCATTCGATCACATCTTCATAAGAAGTAGCTTTAAGCTGAATTTCTTTAATACAATCATCGACATCTTTATTTCCACTTGTCCATCCTTGTGCAATCTTTTGAGGGTCGCATGCTTGGCACCATGCATAATATGTGTTGTATAGGTTACAATTTGCACATGTTCCGTATTCATAATCTCGTTTAGAACTAAATTTATCGACCATGATTCTAAGATGTTACAAAGAAATTAATCATCGTTTGTACATATATATCAATATACATGTATATACTGTATAACAAAAGTATGTTGCACAAATTTTTACATCAGTTTAAAACTTTATTATTGAGAAAAACCTGATCACATTTTATAAAACTGTATTCTTTTATTAGTGTTTCAATCGATATAGCATAAGTCGACTAAGTTAGTCGGTTTTTTAAAATATCGGTTTAGACGACTATAAATATGTACTAACATAAAACAAACTCATCGCACTTGTAAAATTAAATAAATCATTAGAAATTGAGCATTCTCATGTGATGTCGTGGATCAACTTATCGCAAGATGGGAAACATAAGGAATCACTTAATTATTTAAATAATTTATTACAAATTGATAAAAACTCGTGGAGTAATATATTATCAATTAGGAAGATACAAGGAGTCTCTTGCAGATTTAAATGATTCATTCCAAATAATGCAGATGCATTGAGAAAACGTAGAGAAGCACATAGCATAATGAAAAGATCGCTTGCGAAAAATAATCAATGTGCTAAGAAGTCGTGTGGTAACTTATTATATGACAGGTAGATATTAATATTTTCTTTTAGAGTAATATGTGAGCAGGTAATTACTAGTGATGTGCAAATTCTGGAAAATATTAAAAATTCCGGCTCATATTATAGTGGCTTCATCAATAAATAAGTTAATAAATATAGAATTTCACACCAATCTACCATTTTAATAATTCCGTGCATAGTAATTAGATAATCTACCAGCATTATATTGCTTCGCCGGCATTATAAAAATCATACATGATTGCCCATCACTAGTAATTACTGTACTGTATATGCAGTAAGGTTACGGAAACAAAAATAAAACGAAACAGAAGGCTTCAGATATGTATAAATCACTAAGGAACTGCTGTCTAGCCAAGGGAATTCGAAGGTTTTTATACACGCCCATTTCCTTATGATACGTATCATTTGTCTAAACATTCCTTCCACTGTATAACTAATACTATACAGTATATTTACATTGATTCACAGATGGCGGCGCGCCCTCATAATTTATGATTTTTGTTTAAATGTTAATGTTACGTCTGCGACGTTATCTTTGATCTAAGTACTACCTACTATGAATAAATAAAGGAAAATTACAAAAAAAAAAAAAAATACTGATACTATATAAGGCATAAATACTAATACACAACCTAAATAAGTAATACAGAATACTAAATATTGGAAATGTGTAATACGAAAGAAAAGCGATAGGTTACAAAGGTAATACCAAGAATTAAGTTATTCTTTAAATAGATATAATTATATTTAGAAATTTTCACGTAATACGTATAACGCATTTGAAATTTCTCAATTTAGTAATATTCTCTTGTAAAGTGACAAAGGACATTTCGACATATCTTCTAACTTTATTATAATTCATAAAATGAAAAAAATCCAATTGAAGAAATTCTGTGTTTCTTAAAATGATGTGTTACTTTTCTACGTATTGCATCGGTTCAAAAATTCCGTTATATACTAACTCTAGCACTTTGTCAAACAAACAAATAAATGAATCACAGGCTGTTGCAGATCGATAAAACCGGTCATATTATGTCTTTCATAACTAAATGTAGAACCTTTTTGCTGTAAGCAATATAAACATGTAGATGCGTACACCCTAAATTTTCGCTCACACCAACTTTTTATATTTTTTTTTTATAAAAAAAAAGGTTTTTTTAACAATTAATATAACTCACGCTAAGATTTAATTAATTATGACTTCACAAAAACAACAAAGACATGAAACCCAACATCTACGAGGAGAATATGATGTAAAGTTTGGTGGGCCAACTGCAGTGGCCGGTCAGACACTCTCCGCTGTCCAAACTGTAGGAGATGCAATCACTCCATTCGTTCCCTTATTTAACATGGTCACGAACATACTTACTCAAATGTTATCAATCTATGAAAATGCAAAATGTAATGAAAAAATATGTTTGGCTTTATTAGATCGTGTTGAAATTGCACAAACAGCAGTTAAATCATTGCAACGAAAATATCAAGCAAATGAAAAAAATTTTAGGGATCAAGTTTATTATGATGCTTGGATTAGATTTGTTAATGTTCTAGAGAATATTAGGAAATTTTCTAAAGAAGTTACGCAATTGAACTATTTTCAAAAGTTTATGAATGCTAATGCTGTTAAAGATGCTTTTGAAAAAAATATTAAAGAGTTTGAAGAAGTTTGTAGTGATTTAAATTTTACTATGGCTATGTATAATGCTGAGCAAAGAGAAATGGAAGCAAAAAATGTGGCAGAAGATCTTGAGATTTTGAAAAAAGTAATGTATGATTGTGATTTTAAATCAAATTATTTTGTTTTTTATTTTTATTTTTAATATATAAGTTTTTCTTTTTTATTTCTAATACATTGTGTGTAAACCTCAATGAATTATAGTCAATGAATGAAATGAAGGATGAAATAAAGGCTGAAATAAGGTTAGCAATAACGGAAGTTACTACATTGATGTCAAGCGCCAATCATCTAGGTTCACAACTACAACTTGCACAGCAAAAGGGTGGTGAAATTCCTGTGGTGGATAAAACAGCTCATCTGATCGATGAGTACAAAGCTCCCAAAGTAGATCCAAGAGAATTAACCGAACCATTTGCTTCTAATGATAACGTTCGTGGATCCAAAAAAACTGTCCATAAAAAAATTTTCCGTGGAATAGAAGTTGCATGTAAAAAAGTTCAAATTTCTAAACCTGGCGAGTCCGGACAGTTAAAGAGTCCCGATCAAACAGTCGAGCGAGCAAATTATAAAATACAACAACTTGAATTGGCTGCACTTCTTAAATTAGGTGTTTGCCCGTTTATTATTAACTTTTATGGAATTTCATATGTGGATAATAGTCAAGTTATGATTTTTGATTGGGCTGCATATAGTAATCTACGTGAAATGTACTTAAATTTTAATATTGGCTGGCCTACAAAATTACAGTTCGCACGTGATATTTTTAATGGTCTAGTATTCATGCATCAATGTAATCTTTATCATCATGACGTTCGTTGCGAGAATATCTTGGTATGTATATAACTCAAAAATAGGAATTACTAGTCAATTAGTCGACTAATTAATTTATTAGTCAGCTTGAGTTTTAGTCAATTAGACTAATAATTGTTAGCTTATGAATTCTATAAACTTATTGTGTTTTTTATAAATAATAGGTCACCGATAGATTTGAGCCTAAAATTTCAAATTTCGAACTCAGCCGTTCTATAACAGGTGTATCTTCAGAAATTAAAACATTGGCAGACATTATTCGATGGTTAGCACCCGAAAAGATGCGAAAACCTCCAAAATCTCAGCAACAAAGATATAATCATCAATGTGAAATGTACAGGTAATGAAATATAGCATTACAACATTTTTATAAATTTATTTAACGCATGGTTTCTTGATCATAGTTTTGGAATGATGTTGTGGGAGCTTTGTCATCAAAGGTTCCCTTATAAAGATATGGATGTGGGTACTATCCAAGAGCATGTTGTAAATAAAAAGCGAGAAGTTCTTGACAATACCCTTGATCCATCACCAATTCCAAGAGAACTTTATAAACTTATTAAAAGGGGTAAATATAATTTATCCTTGCAATTTACATTTGTAATTTACATTTGTTTTAAATTGTCAATTTTAATTACTCATTTAAAATTCATGCAAAAATTAATTGTTATTTATCAAGCTTGGGAAGATGAACCTTCAGCACGTCCTTCGGACATAGAAATGCAACAAAAACTTAAAGATCTTTTTAATGAACATGTATTTTCTAGAGGAATTTCCCCTCAAATACATCCTAAAAAAACAAACTCTGGTGATATCCCAAGTTTCGAACTTCCAAAAAGTTTCGAGGAAAAAGTTTGCATCACCGATTCTCAACAATCTTGTGATCAATTTGAAACACCTGATGAATGCGATGGTTTTGATTTAGATAACTACACAATACCTATTATAAAACCTTTGATGTCTTTTGAAGAAGGTATTAAAGCACACAAAGAAAAAAAGCACGAGATTGCTTGGGAATGCTTTGTAGGTCATGCAAAACTTGGAAATAACGTGGCAAAATATTGGCAAGGGTATTATTTATTAAGTGGTTGGGGTGTAAAAAAGGATTATCAAGCTGCGCTTAAGCTCTTTAAAGAAGCTGCCGATAATGGTATACCTGATGCACAACTTCGATATGCATTTGCTCTTCTTGAAAATAAAGATGCCCTAAATGAGATGACAATACAGGAAATAATTAAGTATATGACTATGGCGGCTGATCATGAAAATCCTACTGCACTTTTTAACTTGGGTGATATTTATTGGAATGGAAAGCTTGGGGTTCCGGTTGATAAAGTAAAGGCGGAACAATATATTAAATTAGCAGCTTTGAAAGGCCAGCAAAAGGCTGTTCAATTTTTGGAAAAAATTAAAGCTGAAAAGGCTAAAAAGCAATTTATTTAAATTATCATGTATTTATTGTTTTTTTGTTGTTGTTTATATATTATACTAAATGTAGAATAAATAATATCCATATTTATTACTTAAAATCAAACTTTAATATATTTGATAAGTTTACATTTTTGAATATGGAAGTGGGTGAGAATCTATTCATTTTTACAAGGTGTTATAAGCCATTTCAGGGACATTTATATGTTGTATTAATTATAAAATATGTATTAATTTTTTAATCACAATGTAATAGTGTCTTTTAATATATTAAAATATAAGTGAATCTAGCTGAATAAGAGTATAAAAGTAAAAGTGCTTGTAAAACACATTATATTGCTTAAAAATCTAAATTTATAAGCTCTTGCTTAGTTATCTTGTAAGGAGTATACTCTGAAATTACTAAATTATTACAAATTATGACAAAATTCCTAAAGGCTGTAATGCAATACGGAAGTTGAATTTTAGAAAAATTACAAATAGCGACCCGTCGCTATGACGAACCCTTATATGATCGGCCAATCATTTTTTAGATTGGTTATCATATATAAACATTTACAACTAGTGTTTTGATTTGTTTTGCTTTTTTGCTTTCATGCTCTTGCTTTTGCTTTGCTTTTGTTCTTGCCTTATTCTAGTTTTTGCTTGCCTCTCTTCCTTTTCTTACTTTTTTTGAATTTTATTATTTTTTTTGTTTTTTTTCATCTTGAATTAATATTTTTTTTCTTTTTAGATGTAATTTTAACATTATTAACGTTATAGTTTTTGAATTATTGTTATTTAAGCTATCATCACTAGAACTGTTTATTGTCAAAAAATTTTATTTTTTTATTGTTAAAACTTTTTGTCAAGTAATTTAAATTATTGTTTTTTCTTTTATTAATTTTTTCTAACACTTATATTGATAACTTTTATTTGAATTTTTATTTAATTTTTCTCAAACATTCACTTATTTTAAACTTGAACTTTTTTGAATTTTTTTTTGAACTTCTTTTAGACTTTCACTTAAACTTTTATTTAGATTTCTCTTGAACTTTTACTTAACTTTTATTTGAGTTTTTTATAGATTTTTTTAAAATTTTTTTTTGATTTCTTTTAAACTTTTAAAACTTTTCTTGATTTCTTTCAGATTTCACTTGACCTTCTCTTGGATCTTTTTTTGAATCTTTGCTTAGATCTTTTTTTTGGATTTTTGTTTAGAGTTTCACTTAGTGTTTTGCCAAAATCTTTATTATTTTATGTTTTTGTGTTAGAGTTATTTATTGTTTATATAAATAAAGCAAGTAGGCTATTAGGTTAATTCTAGTCTATTTATTTAGCAGTACAGATTCGTGACTTTGACAGAGATGTATAATTTTAATATTGGGTGAATAATATGCAAGATGTGAAAACTATATCACGCTGACCAATCGGTTATTAGATTTTGGCCTGTACGCCTTTTCTTTCTCCACTACACTTCATGATTACATTACTCCGTTCCTGGTATATGTGCCCTACCCTCATTTTAACTCCCTTTAAGCAACTTAAGCGCCTAGTTTAATAATAAAATAAATAGTAACATAACATTGTGTAATTATATAAAGTTTGTGATTATATGGGAGGTGACTATATAGTGGTTGACTGTATCAATAAAGCTGACCTTAGTGATTTATTTTATATAAATATAAACATTTGCTTTTTCAAATTATTTCATAAATTTATTTTATATTTTTGCAAATATATTTGAGATTAATCTAATATATTAATGCATTAGTATACATTGTCAAATTTTTTTCTTGACATGAACAATTGTTCACATGTATATGATTTCCAAAAATTGATTTCACTAATTTTGAAAATAAGATAAAAATACTTACTAAACTATTTCTACTGAATTTAGAAAGATCAAAAAAAAGCCTGATGAAATTACTGTATATGAATCAAGAAATTACCTTTCTATGATCTTATATAAATATTAGAATAAAACTTAGTTTTTTGGTCCAGTTAATATAACCATAAACTTGAAATTTACTAGTTCTATTTCTAACGTAGCATAAATTAATTTAAATAATTTAAAATATATATGCAAAATAATTGCGCAATAAATAATTTAAATAAATTCATTCAGGCTTGTAATAAATCATCATTATCGGCTATATATACAAAATATTTAAATTAATCATTTAATATTCTTATTGATATAAGTTTAGTAAATTGAATTATTAACACATACGTGAAATATTAACATGACAATCATCATCGGAAATTGAAAAATCGAGAGTAGCAGAATCTAAAAGAAAACTAAAAGTAAAAACTTTAATCTATCAAATTTAACATATAGTATGAGTAAATCATTTACCATGAATTTTTAACGACTTCGCAGGTGAAATAAATGAAGAATTAATTGGCTTAGAAAGATTTTTAAAGTTGAGTAGTTTACTTGTAAGTTTATCTTTAGAGCAAGTTGGAAACTCGGCTGATAATGTTGGAATAATTGCATCTGCAGACTGGAATTCTTTTAATATTGCTAATTCATCATTATTTTCCGCACTACCATTATCTAACATCTCATACCATATTGATAATTCTTTATATATATAAGATGCAGTTGGTCTATCAGAAGGATTAGCATTCATACATTTATTTGCTAGTTGGATATAGCACTCAGGAGTGCTTTTAGCAAATTCAGGACGTAATCCATTGCATATTTTCATGGCTAACGTTTCATCATACTCAGTATCGTAATGAGGAGGTCTTCCTGTAGACATTTCAGACATAATAATACCAAAACTGTAAATATCAGCAGCTGTTGTATATGAATGCTTGTTTAACACTTCTGGCGCAACATAAGGTAAAACGCCGTAAATGCCATCTTCCAAATTAGAATCACACTTTTTTCTAGATAATCCTAGATCAGTAATATAAGATATCAGATCACCATTAACATATTGATTTTGCAAAATATTACCGCTATGGAAATCTCCATGAACATATTCTGCTTCATGTACATTTATTAAATTTTCAGATATATCGACAAGCTGCTTTAATTTACTTTTCCAATTAAGATCTTTAAAATTTAAAGATAGGACATTATGAAGACTTCCTCTATTTGCATATTGAAATACCAACAAATATTCGTTATTGGTTGTGTTTTGGGTTAGTCCATACACTTCAAGATTATTACCCACTAATCTAAATTCAATGTAATTTTTAAGCTTGTTAATTAAAATAAAATTTATAATGTTAATAGTTTATACATAATTTATTTAGATTAGATCATAAATAAATCATCTTACTTCTTTTAAAAAATTCTTTTGTGAACCAGGTAAAGTTTTAAGTGCAACTACACATGATGATGTACGCGATTGCATATTATCTGAAACCGTTCTTTTACCATCTAGCCATGTTGCAGAAAATACAGAGCCAAATCCCCCTTTACCAACATTTTGAATATTTTTTAATCTATTAAAAGGAATCCATTCGATTACATCTTCATATTTTGTAGCTTTAAGTTGAAATTCTTTAATGCAGTCGTCGATATCCTTATTTCCACTTGTCCATCCTTGTATTATCTTCTGAGGGTCGCATGCTTGACACCAAGCTTCGGAAGTGTTATATAGTTTGCAATTTGCACATGTTCCATTGTACCAATGTCTTTTAGAACCAAATTCATCAAATACCAACATATACTCATTTGTTGTGCTGTTTTGCGTTAGTCCGTATATTTTAAGACCATTATCCTTTAACTGTACATAATCTATAAACTTATTAAGCATGTAAATATACTGTATATTAAAATAATGTATATATATTGTGTCATATTAATTATATTAATTAATAAGTATTTTAACTTACTTCATTTAACTTATCTAATAAACTTTGTGGTCTAGTCAATATTTTAAGCTCCACCTTACATGATGGTATACGTGACTGTGTATATTTATCTTTAAATATATTTTCACTTTCAGTTTTTACATAACGTATTCCATCTAACCAGGTCGCTAAAACCTTATCGCCAATAATTTGAATATTAACTAATCTATTAAAAGGAATCCATTCGATTACATTTTCGTAAGAAGTAGCTTTAAGTTGAAATTCCTTAATGCAGTTATCGATGTCCTTATTTCCACTTGTCCATCCTTGTATTGTTTTCTGAGGGTCGCATGTTTGACACCAAGCGTAAGATGTGTTATATCGCTTGCAACTTGCACATGTTCCATTCCAATCATTTCTTTTAGAACTAAATTCATCAAATACCAACATATACTCTTTCGTTGTGTTGTTTTGCGTTAGTCCATATACTTTATTATTTTTTAACTGTACATAATCTGTAAACTATTAAGCATGTAAAAAATATACTGTATATTAAAATAATGTATGTATATTACGTCGTATTAATTATATTAATTAATAAGTATTTTAACTTACCTCATTTAACTTATCTAATAAACTTTGTGCTTGTGTCAATAATTTAAGCTCCACTTTACATGATGGTATACGTGATTGTGTATAATTATCATTTACATTTGCATATCGTATTCCATCTAACCAGGTTGCTGAAACTTTATCGCCAATATTTTTAATATCACATAATCTATTAAAAGGAATCCATTCAATTACATCTTCATAAGAAGTAGCTTTAAGTTGAAATTCCTTAATGCAATAGTCGATATCCTTATTTCCACTTGTCCATCCTTGTGTTGTCTTCTGAGGGTCGCATGTTTGGCACCAAGTTGGTGATGTGTTATATCGCTTGCAATTTGCACATGTTCCATAACCTTCATTTCTTTTAGAACTGAATTCATCAAATACCAACATATATTCATTTGTGATTGTATTCCGAGTTAATCCATAAACACGTATTCGCGGTTTATGCTTTAGCTGACTATCTAATTGCACATGGTTTTTAAACTTATAAAATACGTATATAAACAATATAAGTATAATCATTAGTACAATCATAATGATAAATTAAGTATATTAATTAAATAAACTACGTATAACGATAATAGAATGATATGAACTCACTTCTTTTAAAATATTTTGAATATTTTGAATATTTTGAATATCTGCTGTTCCTGTCAATATTTTAAGTGTAATTATGCTTTCCGGTGTGCGTGACTGTGTATATTCATATCCATGTTTATTATAGCCATATTCATATTTTACATATCGTATTCCATCTAACCAGGTTGCTAAAAATCCATCACCATTCTTTTGAATATTAACTAATCTGTTAAAAGGAATCCACTCGATCACATCTTCATAAGACGTAGCTTTAAGTTGAAATTCTTTAATACAATCATCGACTTCTTTATTTCCACTTGTCCATCCTTGTACTGTCTTCTGAGGGTCGCATGTTTGGCACCAACCTGGTGATGTGTTATTTCGCTTGCAATTTGCACATTTTCCATTATCTTCATCTCTTTTATAACTAAATTCATCGGCCATAATTTTAAGATGTTATTGTACAGAGAAATTA